TAATGTGTTTTTTTAACTTTAAACCGCATAAACACATTTCATTACACCAAATACACAAAATAATGTTCTTTTTAGCAGCATCATATGACCCCTTTAAGAGGCAAGCTGTAAAATTGCCCGTCGATATGTTAAGATAAGGAGAGGGGGCAAAAGTGAAAAAAATTCAATGTGGCATTTCAGCCTATAAGAACAAAATCAATTTTAATATTTTACACAGTCCAGTGATATTTCTTTCATTTTTGGGGTGTGATAAAAATAAGTTTTAGTTCTTTACATATATGTGTTGCTACTATAGATTTAGCATTTTTTAAATCTTAGGTATGAGTGTAATACTCACAGAAGTGATTAATATAAGGAAGAAAAAACAAGAAGTGCTAACCATTTTAAATTTAAACAGTTATTAGTATTTTTTCTATAAGGACTGACTTAGACAGACATGACAGCTGAAAGAGTGAATGTTCTTTTCTTTGTTGTCAGGCAGTGTGAATAAGCCAGGTTCAATCTCCTAATGGTTTGGAGAGGACATAATCACATTAAAACAAAAAACAAATGACCTCGTCTATAAGAAGGACACTAGGGCATCTTGTGCTAAGACATTGCTTCAGGAATTGATGATATTATGGAGAAAGAGGAAAGAAGAAAAGTTTTGGGGAAGGTTAAATTAGCTGTCTGGTGAAAATGTTTCTGCCTTTTTCTGATGATGTTCTTTTATTCATAGAAAAAAAAAGTTAGTTAAAAAGTCTAAAAGTTTCAGTTGTATATAAGACTCAAATATATTACAGGGGAAGAGGCACAGATACTCGTTCTTCTGTTTCATATTTGTATGTTGTTAAAATGTTTTAAATATTCAACTAGCCCTAAATGACAAACATTTAGTATAATGATTAAACATTTAGCCTAGTATAAACACTTTTTCTAGGGATAAAAAAGTTTAAGTTAAACATAGGCATTTATTGTATGGCATGCTGTGGTATTTTTAATGCTCTACAGTATGTTAATTATGTCATAATTCCCTAAAGAGTTTGTGATGATTGTGGCCTTTAATATGATTAACAAAATATGTCCCACACATGTATCTGCTATTAGCTTTGAAAAAGGAAACATTTCCATATTGAAATTAATCACAGATGACAGACAGGTACTAGAATGTTCTTAAAGGACTTAAAGGCCACTATTTTTGAAAATAGGCTCATTTTCCAACTCCCCTAGAGTTAAACAGTTGAGTTTTACCATTTTCGAATCCATTCAGCCGATCTTCGGGTCTGGCGGTAGCACTTTTAGCTGCAGCTTAGCATAGATCATTGAATCTGATTAGACCGTTAGCATCTCGCTCAAAAATGACCAAAGAGTTTCGATATTTTTCCTATTTAAAACTTGACTCTTCTGTAGTTACATCGTGTACTAAGACCGACGGAAAATGAAAAGTTGCCGATATGGCTAGGAACTATACTCTCATTCCGGCGTAATAATCAAGGAACTTTGCTGCCGTACCATGGGTGCAGCAGGTGCAATGATAATACGCAGCGCCTGAAAATAGTCCCCAGCTAAGTTATATTCTGTGGAAGGCGTAGGACCAAGAAATATTCGTCCAATCAAAACGCTCGGTCCGACCGTTTTAATTGGCTTTCCTACCTGCCTGTCAAGGTATGTATTACCATACCTCTGCGTTGGAAAATGAGCCTATTTTCAAAAATAGTGGCGTGTTCCTTTAACACACATGCACTATTTCCTTTGATTGTCACAATTTTCATTGCTCATCAACTTTCTCAGATCACAGGCTTCGTGTAGAATAAAATATATAGTAAACTTAAGAAAAACTGAAATATTAATGTTTCTTTAAAATAAAAAAAAAGGATTCATATTTTCCGAGAGAAGTAAATCATCATATTATATTTTTAAAATGTAATTTTATACTGTAAAATAATAAACTGTTGAAAAAAAAGATCCAAGGCAAATCCAAAGCATGTGTTCAGATTTTTAAGTTCTCTAAACCAATTTTACTAACACTACTTTGTTTTGTCGTTTTTAATTTATTTGTTCCGTTTGTGCAAAATGCTTCATTCAGCCATAAATTCATCATGACAACAACAGATTTCTTGTTCAGCAAATTTTCATTTACAGTACTTTATTTTATTGTTTTGACAGCTGTGTATATATTCTTATTGGAAATTTAAAACATGTTAAGTGAGCAAGCTGTCTTTGTTTCAATCATCCTACAAAACAAAGATATCCAGTGTAGTGGACAAAGGTTTGCTACATTTTGATTGGATCTTGGTGGACTAATATAAGCAAACTGTCCAACGCCATCAGATAAAGATGCCAGGACAACAGCCAGACACCTCTTAGAGGGCAAGAAGAAGACCTTTGGTACAAAGCCCGGGAAGGACAGGACTTCCTATTGGACAAAATGCAGTTTCTGCCCTTCACCCACCAACAGACTGATTCCTCAGGTTTTGGCCTGTGACCGCCATAACTCTATCACAGAGAACGTAATATCACTTATCCAAACCTCTTCCAGAGACCTTGGCATTGTTAGATATTATCAGTATATGATTTTCTAATTTACATTAGATATTTTAAAGCTGATTGCAGTTGATAACAAATCAGAAAGAGGTTCTACAAGTTAGAGATCCCACCAATCTTTCTTATGTGATGTACTCATAACCTCACCTTAAGTGACACGTGATCCAAATATCATAACGTCATTGGTGACGTGAGTACCCATCACTACACTATTTCACCTCGACGCCTCCCTAGGTTGGCGAAAGCAAAATTCACTACACCAGGATAGTTTTTTTAATAGTTGAACATATTTTAGGCCTCAGCACTCAACACACAAGAACACTGATAATCAACAAATGTAAAAAAGCTTCTAAAATCACAACAAATAACTAACAATAGTAACAAATGTTTAAATGAAGTCAGCAAACAGCAAAAAAGTAAGTCTAAGTATAAGTCAGTAACTGCATAATTCATGCTGCAATGCTGGGAACTCACAAACCCTAAAACTCACATAACCTTTTAGCAATATGAAATTCTTTGTTAAGACAACTGTGTTCATCTAATTAGGACAACATTTGGAGGAATATTAAGAAAACTGCATTTTTTTTGTCAGCACAAGATTGAACAGATGGAGATGAAAATCATTTTGAAACCTTCCTCTAGTCTCAATTCATTTTTAATTCTATCTGAATGATATTTGCAAATATTATAAATATATGGCATGACAGTATACAGTATTGTATCTGAAAATGTTGACACTGTTGAGTTATAGCAAGGAAAACACATTTGGAAGAAGCAGTAGTCTACATTACAATGTAAATGAATCCCTCTGAACATGTTTAACAGAGTATTCTAATGTAATTGCTCTGTACATACATACGTTCATCTTGAATCTGTGAAACATCAGGGTATCATAATATGATGCACTAGCATGCATGCTAAAGAGAAAAAAGTAGGCTCGGATTATATGAGGCTTGTCGCTCTCAATCATGACATGGCCGGCTGCATCACTCTGCAGGTAATTCAATAAAGCCTATTCTCAATGGGCAGAGCAAACCTTCCCACCAGCATGAGCACTGCTACAGGAGCAGATTCTAATCTTAACATCGGACATGTGTTCCCAGTCATGCAAACTAAACGCAACAGACAAAAAACTAAAAAAAAAAAAGAATTGTGGGATGCCAATCTTAAAGGACAAATTACTGCATATTTACACAATGTGCACCAAATATAAATGATTTATCTCTGAATTGCCTTAGTGCTTATTTAGCCTAATGAGGCAGATTCATGCAGCTGAGCTATATGAAAGCAAAGATAAAAGCCTGGTCAATGCAGCATCGCTGATGAAATGCTCTACAGTCCTCAAGGATACAACCTTGGAACTACTGTATAGAGCTGAATGAGTTTAAAGTGCATGACTAAAATGAAAAGCTGGATTGCTCTCCGCTTTTATTGAAAACATTGGCCACAATTGTTTTAATCCATTTTCTTTTATAAAATGGCTAAACATGAGGATTTTATAGCCAGCTTATCCATAATCAAAAGGAATTTTAGGGGATTTAAAGTTTCAAGACTTCTTCGGGAAACAAGTCTCAGTCCAATAAAGCTGAATGAAAAATCACCCATTAAGTGACATGGCTCAAATAGCCTATTAAACCTTATTTGACTCAAAACAAAGACTCAAAATTTGGCTGTAAATGATTTTGGCTGTGTGTAATTATCTAAGATAAAAAATAAAGTAGGCCTATACAATATATATATTTTAAAATAGAAAAAAAATGAATGAATGAATGAATGAATGAATCCATTTTGTAGTTATTGATAAACTTGTATAAAATAAACAAACACATATTTGTAAAAATGTGTTTATTACATTTTTATTAGCCTACAATAACCGTGTAACAGGATTGCAGGTAAAGCTTGATGAATGCAGTCAACGCTTAGTATAAAAACTTGTTGTAGAAATAATTCAAATTATGTTACTTCTTGGGTATCATATCCAAGAAGAAATATTAAAAAATGCCATACACTTTTGTAATGTTGGTCTCAGTATTTCTGTCTGTGTGTCTCCGCGGTGCTCGTATTGCCCGCGGCGGGGGATCCGCACGCTGTGCTCTATTCCAGCCACCGATCAGTCGCTTTCGCTCATGTCAAAACTGACAAAACACCGGACACTCTCCTCTAATAATTCAATAAACGACTGAACAGAATGTATAAGAACTAAATGTCTAAATTAAACACCTTCAAATAAACCACTTTTACTTCTGTTTTTGGGGTCCTGCATGTCTGAATAAACAACTTTTGTTGCCTGGACAAACTGAGCTGTCAATCAGTGCAATTTTAATTTCCTGTGCATCCGTCTCCTTTATGCACTGACAAACTACACAGTGCTGATCAAATGATAGTACGATTTAAAAAAAATTTTTTTATTTCGTACAGTAATAGGCTATAGCCAACTGTGTTGTTATAAGGCGAAAGTCTTTAAAGATTTGACTCACCCTTTAGGGAGCAGAGCAGATGAGATGTCGCTGTTGGTTCTCCATTACGAGACGCCCGCCGTTGCTAATGAATAAACATTTATTTGTGTTGCAAAGATATCCGGCAACTAAAGCAAGAGCTGACGGTGCTTAAGCGCTGCAGCTCCGTCTCTGCAGTACTTCAAGAAATTGAAAAAAAAGAAATAAAGAAGAGAGAGAGAGAGAGAGAGAGAGAGAGAGAGAGAGAGAGAGAGTCGCTTGCTGTGTGTTGTAGTAATAATGCTATGCGGAGAGACCTGACGGAAACACCGCGGTATGACGTAAAGAAACCCCCTACAAGAGACTTATGACTGTCCTATTGTAAGTCAAATCCGGCATCTCTTTGCCAGATCACGACAAACTGGCGTGATTTAAAGGTGCACTCAGCATATTATGACAATTAATAAAGGTTTACGCATAAATAATGAGGTTTTGTTGGTCTTATGCACAAGACATTGATTTTATAAACAACCTCAAGTTTATTTCACGTGGTCGAAAATGTATGCATGAAATAAACTGGACGTGTTTGTTGTGACAAACAACTAAATATTCAGGCTTTTTCATAAGTCACCCTTGTTCTTTAGAAGAAGAAAAAATCTAATTTGAAATTGAGTTTCATGTAGATTTGATGGACAACGTAAATCAATCTGACAGCATGAAATGAAAAACATCCAGTTAGAATATAAATACATAAATTCAGAGTTGTGTTTCATTAATAAGCTTTTCAAAGGGAGGACGATTAGATCAATATTGTACCAGATTCTGGATACTAGGCCTATAGCAATAGCTTTAGACAGTTTGTGCACTAAGCCAGTATGTATGAATCAGTGACCTCTAATTTCTTCTGTTGTGTGACCTTATGCTTCTGTTCCTCATTTATGACTGAGCCATAGAGGAGGATACACTCAGCATGAATGATTGAAAGCCAAGGAGCACTTAACTTAATGAGCTACTCTGCAATATGGAGCATTACAACTATGTGTCCTCAGTTGTGACTATCAGTGGAATTTCAGCCTGTTAAATCTTTGAGTCAAAAATCTAAGAAGAAAAAAAACAGTTTGATTTAAGATTGTTTACACTGAGACAATCACAGATCTGTATGTCACTTTGACACAGCACCTGGATGCATGCGAATCAGCATGTACCACAGCTAAATCTTCTCGAAAACATTGTAACTTGTAACATTATGTCAGTGTTGACATTAGATAATACTTTTTTAAAAAAGGTTTGAGACATTTAAGAATTCATGATGGAGCTCGACTATATAGACTCAGCATGACAATAATAAAAACTGTTATCAGTTGTGTCATAACTGCAGTCATTAGACTTGGCCTTTCCATCTTACAAATTGACGTATAACCATCTTAGCTAATACTTAAAATAGATCAGCTTGCAATGATACATCATACACCAGAGCCTATGCCTCCTCTAATGGCTAATGAATACAAATGATAGAACATGCAGTGGTGAAGAATCCACTTTGCTCACAAAATTTGCTCATACAAAAAATCTTAGCATTCAAAACAGAAGTGAAGAACTTTGACATCAATTCTACAACAATAATTCACAACCTGCCTGTCTTAGTTGTGAGCAATGATAAATACCTCAAAGGCATTTTACATTTTTGGTTGCTGCAGTGCTTCAGAGTAGAACGGCTTTATGACAGCTGTTGCTGCCTATGAAGGATTGCTTGCATAATAATGGGAGAGTTCTGCATATGTTCTGAATATCTGATCACAGATTTAAAATTTGCAAACTGTTCAAAGTGCAAACTTTATAGTGCAGCTAAAACATCAATAATGTGATCATGTGTCACGAATCCGGTCCATGAACTTCCGTCTGCTTGCCATCAGAGGTCACCCTTTCCATTACATTGACTCTCGCACTACACAAACTGTTGCATCATCCCGGACTACATATCCCATCATCCATTGTACTGATTGCACACAGCACTGATTGCACACAGC